GAGGGAAGCAATTGAATTTGAAAGGGGATAATTTTTTGTTTATTCCCAAATAGCCAGTGGACAAGAGGTTTATTTATTTTAAAGAGTTTGCTAATACTTCTAAGCATGTATGTGCCTGAAGTGATGTGGCCCACTTTTAAATACTGAGATTTATAAATTTCTGTGACAAAGTTTCAGAAAGCTTTTTTTCCCCAAACACAAATAATCCAACAGATTCAACATACTACAGTATAGATGTTAAGACCCCATCATAGCAAAACTGCCACTTTGTTTTTGTAGTCTCCTTTTTGAGCAACTCTGTGTTAATTAAGTATAAACCTATGGAATGACATAGAGGGCAACTTATTTTGGTAGACAACCAAATCTGTTTTTTAGCCTCTCAAATGATGGCTCCTAAGTCTTCTGGACAAGTGAAGTTCCACCAGTTTTTCCACTGACTTCCAAATGAATCAAAGCTTTGCTTATTAGGCAATTTGGGCTATAAACCCTGCCCTCCGAATATGCATAAGGGTATGTAATGAGAGCCAAAAACGTTTTGAAAGACCATCTGGAACTACCAAGATTTACCTCAAGTGGGTAGCACTGCTACTTCTATATCTAGACCTGGACACTTTTACTAAACAGACCTCCTGTCTTGGTTTGGAAGCTAGGTGTCTGCTAAGTAAGGCAGGAGCTTCCCTTGAAATGGCAAATGTAAACCATTCCCCCCAAATTATTGTAATTTTGAAATTAAGGGGCTCTCAGGAAAAGATGTGGGAATAGGAATAACAGTTCTTTACTACTTTAGTAAGTGTAAATATAAAAAAAAAAACAAACTGGCCAACCTAACAAACTACTAATAGGAAAACTAAAATAAAACGCAGTAGTACAAAAAAACACTGACAGAGTCAGAATACAACCTTACACCCTGTTGGTCAGGGTACTGATAGCAGTCCCATTAAATGGTGGCTGCAGTCCTCCTGGAGTGACAGATGTGGTTCAGTTGAAGCAGTGCTCCTGTAGAAGAGTGCAGTTTTCCTCCAAAGGTCCATGATGATGTAGAAGGGTCTGGTTTTCCTCTGGGAACCCAGTGGAAAAAGGAAATGCTTGGCTCCTTCCCCTGGCTGGAGCATCTCCCAATGGGATGATGTAATTTTATTAGTCAAAAAGTAGGACTCAATAACCCATTAACAGAAGATACCTCCCCGGAGGAAGGATGGGTTGTGGAAAAGATAAAGGACACTGCCCCACCTGGTTTTAACAGACGGTCCATTAACAGAGGATGTCTCCCCCAGAGATAAAGATCACTGTCCTGCCTGGTTTCAACAGATGGTGGTAGAATACAGACCTTTAGTGACAATCCTGCATTGCAACCCAAGACACTTTCACTGCAATCAACAGCCACTGAAGTCAAGCAAGGTGCAGTGAGTAGGTGCAAAACTGATAAAAAGTACGAGATACTAAGATTGGAACTTGTAGCTATAAAAAGGCAGCAAAAAGGAAATAAGCCATTCTGTTTCAGTGTTTTAATCATACAGCACTAAAATGTAGACATTCCAAGTTCAAAGAAACAAAACCCATGTTCTTTTTGACTTAAGTATATGAGTTTCATCTGTTTGAGGCTTGCAGCTGATCCTCCCACAGTTGCTACACAGCCCTTATCTGTATAAATAACAGTACCAGAATTGGGTCTGTGACAGTTTTTAAAGACCATTCCTTGATCTAATTACCTTTTATCCTTGGGAGAGCACCTGAATACTTTTGAGCCCTATGAATCTGAAAAAAATTCAGCTAATATCACACAGGAAAAGAAGTAAGAAGGGATCCCAACCACAGACACAAAACCTTTTGTCTTCTGACGCTGGTAACTGCATTGACTTTTAACTTGAGTGATCCCCAAAATTCAATGGACTGCGAAGAGTCATACACTTTCAGTGATGTGAGAAATCAGAAGGACATTCATGCTTGAAAAGTCCTGAGTTTATGTTTAAAAAACTATTAAACTCTAAATAAGGTGCAATTTGTGAAGATTTAAAATTGAGTGGTACAATTCATTTTTTAAAACTCTTTCACCTTTCTTAGGGAAGGTGAATACGCATACATGTCAGCCCTACACACTGCCAAGGGCCATTTACTTCTTCCTGGTGTGCACACTTGTGTGTCAGCACAGCCACATATGTAAGATGAAGAACTAAATGCCATTAGCAGTTTGATGGCATGAGAGCATCACTAAAGCATGCCTAAGTTTCTGGCATGAGGGTGGACAGGAACTGCTCTTCATAGTACCTTCTCCTCTAAAGCACTTTCCTTCTGCAAAGACTACTGCTGTAGCAAGCAGCAACCTCCACTCCAGGCTACAGAGATCCCACATACATGGCTCCTGAAAAACAAATTGGCCTGGGAAACCACTGGCAGTCAAGCCAAGAAGCAAGTCATGACAGCTGCACGAAAGGCAGAATGAGAGAAAATGGCACTGGCATTCTCCTCAGGATACCCATTCAAACCACTAGAAGACATAATGCGTAGCTGGCCATGCCGGCTGACTTGGTGGCCTGGAAAAAAAACTACAGGTCAAATTCAGTTTGAAAACACTGTCCTGTTTCCACCCAAGTTGAAGGCACCCTGGTCAGATTGTTGCCAAAAGGGCTGACTCTATCTCCCAGC